ACCAACATCCATGACCATTGGTACACAGGAGTAAAGGGTTTAAAACAGGACAGTGAGAGAGGATGGCAGAGGGGGTGGAAGCATCTTTGGGCAGACCAGGCATAAGGAGACAGAGCATTTGTGTATCATACAGACAGCCCGGAGGCAAAAGCCAGCTCAGAAGGGAGATCAGGGTATATATCTGCTGTTAAGGAAAAGGATCTCCTTGGGAGCATGCCCAAAACAGAGCATATCTGCAATTCCTGCTGGCAGCAAAGCATACTCCCAAGGTCATATGGCCTTAACATTGTCTTTCCTGTGGGCTGTATCTTCTAGGTTGCCATGCACAATCCTAACTTTATAATTTGCACCCCTCAAATCTTGGAAAGGCTTTTGGGTTGATTTTCTTCTGCCCCAAGATGTTTCAGCAGCATAAATAACTGTGTCAGAGGCTACAATTCCTTACTGCATCTGTCTTGTCACAGAAGACTTTTTAAAACTAGAGAGCTGCAGTTTCTAGATGCCTAATACTCATCCCTCAAGGACTACAATCAAATAGTCCAGTTTCTCCAAAATGCCCTTCACACATGGACCAATCTTGAATTATCTTGGCTTAAAGCAGCCTTCTTAGTGTCTTGTCACTGCAATGAGGACAATGACAGTTCCCAGCCACATCTACTGGGAGTAGGTAGTGCACAGGCCCTCATGGAATTCAGAAATCCCTCTCTATGTGATGCACTTAGGAGAGCTGGGAAGGTCCTTGATTAGAAAGAAGTGCAGCGAAATAGCCTAAATGAGTAAGATGGAATAACCCAAGCTAGTAGTCAAGTTTCTCTTGATTTTCCTGGTGTAAAATGGAGACATTTTGCTATTAACCACATTAAAATAACTCAGCTTCAGAGTAGTGTTCTCATGGAGCTTTAGAAATTAGTATTCAGGGACAGCTCCTTACTGGTCAGTTCTGGGGAAAAAAAAAAAAAAGCCAAACCAGTTTTACTTGAACTTAACAGCTAGTTAATACTAAAATAAACTCAATGGCTTCATTCTGATAGAAGAATGTAGTTCTTTGAAGTTTTCTGCAGTTAAGCAGTTTAAAGCAGAAGGATTTGTCCTAAACTATGGACATGTACCTAGATATAGGGCATGAGCAGCACTGAAGAGCTTAATGTAGCTTGTGCAGAACAGAGTAAGTTCTAATGGGCTTTTTGATACATCCAGCTGTGAAGCCTTCCTGAATGACATCTGACATCAGAGCACCTTACAGCACTCCTGCGCAGCAAGGCAGCCTCATTTTCTCATTGTCTGGATGACAAGATATACACAGAGAGAGAAAATTACTTGCCCAAAATCCTGCCGAATTTCAGAAAATAAGCGAGGAGCTGATCAGAAGCCTCCTACAGACAACTAGAACTCTTCCTCCTGCACAAACCTTTCTCTCTCAGGAGTTTTAGGTCATGAGCAGTTCTCTGTGTAGCTTTATGTTTCGGGGCTTCTTGTTGTATCCACTCTTTCCCATTCCTAGTAAATAAATCCTGCAAACAGTACCTTGCTGCTCACTTGATTAACAGACTTTTTCCCCAACCAAAGAAGTATTTTCCAGGAGGTCTTCTGCCTTGTTGGAGCCTTGTAGCATGCTGATGTGCTCCTTTAAGATCCTTGCTGGAGACAGCCTTCCTGAATTTGTGGGAAAACCTTTGTCCACTGAAAAAAACCTGAGGGTGAGTAAAATTTTTTTTTCCTGGAAGACGTTTAGCTAGTGCATGCCAATAACTGACTGTATTTCCAGGTGCTCTCAGGTATATTCACTCACCCCATGCAAGGAAATAGTCTGTCATCTTCCATAACCAGAAGGGGGGTAAACAAAAAGAGGTGCAAACTGCAGTTATCTATATCCATCCTCACTGTTTTTAGAGATTTTTCATGGATCAGTCAGATCATTGGGAAAGCTGCTGTTCATCTAAGCTGCTGGAAACTTGTCCTTATTGATTTAAATGCAGCAGTTCTTGTTATGCAGACCTCATGATTGAGTGATTTGGCTAGAGCTGGAAGAATGTGACCTTTAATGCATAAGTAAATAAGCCTTTCCATCATGTATAATCGCTCCCATATGACAGATCTGTGACTGTCTAAAATGACAGAAAGATTGTATGAGTCTTTATTTTTTTGAAAAATATTATCACAAAAAGTCACAAATCATTCCTGTCAGAGTGCAGAGAGCTGCTAATGAAAGAATTTCATTCCAGAGTGGTATCTGTGATGGATGTAAAGTTGTAAGAAGTACAGTAAGTAAGATAAAGCAAGGTTAATCTAATCTCTTCCATAAAGCAGAAAGCAAAAGAAACCATGATTTAAAATGAACTCAGACAGAGGAAGTAACAGGCCACTGTTCCATTTCACTCATTCATTCATTAATTTCAATGTTTCTTGAGTTTTAGGAGGCGAAGGAATATTCTGAGCTAAACTTAAAAGCAAACCAAGCCCTAATGTAACACAAAAAAGAGAGAGTGGCTTATTTTTGTTACTTAGTTTTGTGTTTAGAATAGTGAGGCCCTAATGCCTCTTGTGTGTCACAGAATCATAAAATGGCCTGGGTCTGAAGGGACGTTAAAGATCATCCAGTTCCAACCCCCAGCCATGGGCAGGGACACTTTCCACTATCCCCAGTTGCTCAGAGCCCCATCCAGCCTGGCCTTGAACACTGCCAGGGATGGGGCATCCAAGCTTCTCTGGGCAACCCATGCCAGTGCTTCACCAACCTTACAATAATGATTTTTTTTCTCTAATATCTGATCTAAACTCTCTTTCAGTGTGAAGCCAATCCCCCTTGTCCTGTCATTATATTACTGCCCTTGTAAATAGTCTTGCCTCATCTTTCTTGTAGGTTTCCTTCAGGTAGTGGCAGGCCACAATTAGATCACTCCAAAGCCTTCTCCAGGCTGAACAATTCCAACTCTCTCAGCTTTCCTTCACGGGAGGGGTGCTCCATCCCTCTAATTAATTTGGTGGCCTTCTCTGTACTGATTCCAACAGGTCAATATCCTTCCTCCAAGTGTCATTCAGCCAAAACCAATGTTAAATCTTAGTAATTCATAGTATTATTCAGGACACATATCCCAGTTCATCCCTGTTTAATTTGTGATGTCCCATGGTTGCAAAAGTACTGCCGTTCCTGTTCTTTTCCTTCACTTGCTCTCTCCCTCTCTCTCTCCTCTTTCCTTAATTCCTAGTTCACCCTAATTCACCTCTTCTCTCAGGTAGTCCTTTGTTTGCAAATCTGCCAGTCAGGCCAAGTCAAACTCTTTCTACAGTACTTCAGAGTCTTAAGTCCAACAGGTTCCATTCCCCCTTCTCTGGTCTCTGTATTCCTCCTGCAGTGCAGGGGGAATACTCACTGCCAGGGCAGAGCATCAGAATAAAAGGATGTCTCTGAGAAGAAAGGTGGCTTCATTTTTCTGCCTTAGGCCAAGAATGCACTCAATCCAAAATACATCTCTATCAGTGGAAAGACTTCCGTCTGTTTCTGGGCTTTTAGGAAGATTGTGAGGAACCTTTAGTGATGAGGGGGAATTTGATTTGGCCTGAAAAATTCTGCCCTAGAAGATTCTGGATTTTCAACAGGTCAGTTTCTTTAGTGATTAAAAAACAACTGATATAAACACAAATAAAAAAGGAGTTCACTAATACATTTGTCATACCCACTCCCTACCACCCCAGCCTACTGGGAGGTTCTGCTTATTACTTCTGTGTTGTTTTTTTTCTCTTTCCAATCTGAATGCTGCTCCTAAGATGACAGAGATAACTACAGGTCTGCAGAGTCCTGCACCTACACTGATACAATCTGCACAGTGTCCTTGACCATGACTAAGAAGTCAAGACTCTAGAAGTCTGGCTCCACTATTGCTAGGCCAGTTACTAACAACCAAGCTTGTAAGAATTTTGAAGTTAGGCAAAGGGCAGATTTGCTGAAAGTAGAGGGAGGTGAAGCAGGATGGAAGGATCTACCCCCTGCTGGCTTTGAGCTCTATGGCTCTTGCCCACTGCTCAAAAAGAAGAATGTGTTTTCGTAGGTGCAAGCATTGTGCTTACTATGGAGGAGAGCCTTTGTGTTCCTTGAAAAAAAATAACAAAAGCATATAGGTTTGAAATATGTGCTGTGCATCTCCAGTGGGAATGGGGCAGACTAGGCACCTACAGTCTTCTATGGCTGACAGGAAACGGTTGTGCAGAGAGTGATAGGTAATGTTTGTTCTCAGACCCATGAGATTCTTTGTACAATGTCAGCATCAAGTACAGACAAACATTTGAGGGTCAGAACTGGTGGACCTAACTGTAACTATCTTTTCTTACATGTCTCTACAACAGTCATGATTCACTGGTCTTTTTAGGCTCAAACAGAAATCTAACTTGTACAAGTCATAAACCAACCCACAATTACCACAGCACCCATATGAAAACACCTTTCAAGAGAGAGCAGATTTCAGTTTGAAGCCTGGTTATTACACATAATAAGCCAAATTCTCCACTGACGTCAGTGTGGAAGGGGTGTGAGTCACTACTGAATTTGGACCAGTTTTAGCCGAGAATATGGGAAAGATAAAACGCACCTTGGCACTGTCCTTTTACCGCAAGTGAAATTTGCCCAAACACTGTTGCAGCACTTTGGAGTGAGTGGATGGGCCTGGGCATAATGAGAATGATTTTTTTTTTTTTTTTTTTCATCTGCATGTGCTTCCTATGGCCAAACAAATGTGTGCCTGCATTTTGAAAGAAAACAAACCACATTTTATGCAGCAAACTAGCTTTTAATCAGTGCTGAGTAACAGTGATGCTACCTGCCTGCCTTACCTTTTATTGCAGCAGGACAAGGAAGAGCAGAAGCTCTTCAAGATGAGCTTTGCCATAAGCATCATCTTTTTTAAGTATAATACTTCTCTTTCTGATGAAGCCCTAGGCAGGGCCTGGGCACAGGCTGTTTGGTAGTGTGGTAGATTACCTTACTAAAACAGTGATCCTGTGCCAGGCACTGCAGCCTTCTTGGCAGGTAAAGCAGTAATGTGGCAGTCATCCTTCAACTTGTCAAATGGTTCCAGGTATTCTTGCAGATGTCATCTTCATTTGTCTGAAGCCATTTACTTTACAATGACAAGAAGAGAAAAAAGAGCAGAGCTGGGACAGAAGAACTGAACAGAAAAGCGGTGTGTCTGTTGGTAAACAGCTTTATAGGATTACATGCAACTTCTAGTGAGTATTATGAGCTGTAGTTAGCTTCATTTCTACTGAAGTTGAAGGAGTGAATTGGTCTTTCTGCTAGCAGTTGAGAAACCAAAAGTATTTCACTGGCATTTTGCTGTTTAATGTAAGAATTTGGATATCAAGAACCAAAAATAACAGATTGTTTGTCTTTTGTCTTTTTGGTATTTTAACGGGTGTGCTCCCTAACTCCTGACAGAACTGAAACCACTAGAAGTGAACAAGAGACAGCAGTGCTTGGAGTCCCCTGGTAAAGAAAGTGCAAAGCTTCACTTAGAAGTTCAATGGGAAAGAAACAAAGTGGGATGATAAGTATGAATGATGATTCAACTGATGATGGATTGGCCCACACTGTGAAAATTAAGGGTGCTCAGCCCAGTTACTTTAAAGGCTTGGGTGTAAAGACTGGAAGTCTCGTACAGAACACTCTGCTCTTCATTGATCATAAGTGATGGAAAGTAAACATCTTTTCTCAGTGGGTGGATCAAATGTGAGACAGCAAGGTTTGAGCTGCAAAATCTATAAAACAAAAACACTAAGCCCCAGAGCTTGGGCTGACAAAATTGGAATCCACAGTCTCATAAAGCTAGTGTGACAGGCAAGCAGAGGAGCATCAGGACCTCCTTTTCACACTGGAATTAAAGCCCCAAGCCTGGAATCTTTCTTGCACAGAAGTCCATCTTATATCCTGCAAAGACAAAGACACCTGTTTTCATTTATAATGTACTAACTGTATGCGCCATTTTTTCTTGGCTATCCCTTCCCATTTCCTAGGGGTTCCAATTCAGCTTGTCAGCAATCTCAAGAACACCGAAATGAAGAGGAAAAAGCAGGGAAAAGCCTGCCTGGAGTGTGTGCTAACTCCTTGGAGGTGTCACCCTGAAGGGGATGAAGAATGGATGAGTGAGAGGCCTCCTGAGTACACCAGGAGGCAAGAAGGGAAGAGAGCAGAGCTTACCATTTAATGCTGCTGAGCTGAGTGACTGGGGAGGTTGCACAGTGATCACAGGATGCAAAAGACAGTGACCCTCATGGGCAGTACAGCAATGCCAGTGCAGCTGTGGGAGGTAAGTGGGGATGACTCAAGAGAGGGAGAGGAGGAGGAATATTTAGTCTTTACGGTGTTTTTCAGTGAACTCTCCAATGGAGCAGTGCTGCTTTGCTGGACCACCTAGGAAACTTGTAAAATAACACTGATCTGCAGTCTTTTAATTGTTTAACATGGGATAAGCTGTTAGTCTGTACCTTCTGTTGGTAGTATGAAGGTAATAATGAAGAACTTTTGTTATTGCAGAGAAGGACACACTACATATATACACACACAGACTTGTGCAGAGACAACAATGGCTTTCTCCTTATTACAAGGTGTTCCTAAGATTTGTACCCTTAACAAAGCCTGATCTTAAGTCATCAGTTACATCAAAATAGCTCATTATATTAATTGGTCAAAGCAATAGCTTATTGTATTTTATTAGTACAAAGCAATTAACATCAATAATTAATTGGCAAAAGTTTTCAACAGATTATTAAGGCACGTATGCTACTCCTAAGGCACGTATCCCCTAACTGAAATATCTCTTATGTATCTATTTTATTGGTTTCCATGCTAACGGCCTTGCTTTCTTCCTTGCTATGGATAAACTCATATTTTATCAATTTCTTCTTCTGCTAACTCAATTGTTGAACCTGCAGACCAGCTGCTAAGCCCATCCACACTTCCCTCTTTTTGTATTTGAGCTATAAACACAGCTGTCAAGGATTTTTTCAAGGCTCTTTGCAAAAATCTAAGCGGGCAGAGGAGGCACAAAGCAATAATTACAATCACTAAAAAAATTAGCAATCTAGTATTCAACAAAGATCTAAGCTATTTAGTGATGCCCCAACCCTTGAAAAAACTATCTAGTTATCTTTCATTCATGTGTAATTGATTAACTCTCTAAGTCTCTTTTTGCTGTATGAAGTGGTAAAAGCATAAAGCAGTAAATCTTCCATTTACTAGCCTGTCACCTAAACCAGGCTAGTAAAATGTATCAGTTGTTTTATTTTAGTCAGGATTGCTCTAATGAATTCGTATCCTGGTTCTTTAAAGTGACCCATGGGACTTGGACTTGACTGCAGTCTTCTGAGGACCAGCAACACAACAGGAGGCTGGTAAATATTTAATATCACATTTGTTTTGTGAATTAATTTTGCAGTAACATTATTGGTGCTGTAAAGTCTATGATCTTTACAGTAATACAAACAACTGTTAAGAAAGAAAAGTTGGAAAATTTGGCTTCAGGCTCTCAGCATAGGCTGGAGGAAAATTTCAAAGGGTGTGGATTGTAGTGGCTGTTAGTCTTTGAGATGACTTCTGCTAGATGTGGACCAGCTTTAAGCTAAGCCCAGGTGCTTTCCATTAAAAGCATTTTAAGACCATTTTGAAATTAGCTACATAGGAGGAGGATACAATGATAGCAGTGCATCCTTCATAGGAGGAGGATACAATGATAGCAGTGCATCCTTCACGTGTTCGCAAGGTCAGTAACAGCTGAACATTGTGTTGGTGGTATGGTAGAAAGGAAACTTTAGGGGCCAAAAGAAACTCAGATGTGAGTGCAGGCAGATTTCTCACATGAAGGATGGATCTGCCCTGGTGCCCACACCTGACGTGTCTCTGTGAGCTGGTTCTGCATTTTCTGTGTCAGGCTCCTGCAGGATGAGTCCCAGGCCTGGTGTCAGAGTGTCTTCTGTGGGCCATGGCCAGGCTGGTCTGAAGGGACAGTGGTCACTCCTGTGTGACAGAAACGACTTCTGTGGTACAGCTAACCTGAAAGTTGTGTCTGAGCTGCCTCTGACTCCTGTGCACACTGGAATTGTAGTCTGGTGTCTTAGTTACTGATTCATCTTTGCCCATCAGAGTCCAGGTTCAGATAAAATATTCTGTAGACAGTAGAGGAAGTGTTTGGCTGGTTTGACAGCTCCTCTGGGTCAGCTATAGGAATGGAGCAGTGCCAAGGGGCAGTTCTCTGCTTCAGCTTTTGGATTCCTATAGCTGCATTCCCTTCAGTGAACATACATAAAGGAGAGTAAAAACTAGTTTGGAACAACCTTTCTCCATCACCCTTACTTCACAGAATTTCTTCCAGTTTACTGAATCACTTTCATACTGTGATCTGTCCATTTTGATAGATCTCCCTGCTGTTAAACACCTTCATGGTGTTTGAAGTGCTCAGCTGACAATTCTGAACAGATTTTTGTTCATATGCTTCCACTCTGATATTTTTCCAGTGACACAGGACCAAACCTGTCAGAGTTTAAGGAGTGTCTGGTTGATGTTTAGTCATATGGTTTAGTTTTGGGTAGTCCTGCAAGGAGCAGAGAATTGACATCGATGATCCTTAAAGGTTCCTTTCAACTTGAGCTTTTCTATGATTCTGTGGCATTTGCAACCATAAAGAGTGTGATGTTCATACTTTTAATTTGGGATCCTGACAAGCTGTGTTGTTCTGAATGATGCAAAGGTGGGAGATACATGGCTTAAGAAGGAAAACAGGTAAAATGCCCATGGGATGATCAGTATAACTGAAAGGCTGCAAAACCCTAATGGGACTTGGCCTGGTGTTGATAAAGAACTTCTAGCTAAGGACAAATGGGCAGACCAGACAAGAACAGATCATATCCTTCCCACACTGCTACTGTCTCAGTCTCACTAAGTCTTGGCTTTGGATCTTGGCTTTGTCAAAATTTTCCTTCACAGTCTCTTGTGGAGACACTTTCACATCTGCTAACCCATTTGCTCAGCCTGTAGGCTTAAGCTCTTTCCCACAAGGTAGGCTTCTCGCCACCCACCCTTCTCCTGGTCTCTGATTTTCAGAGTAATCAGTAAATGTGTCCTTTGCATGCAAATGCACACCTTTCAGTATATACCAGGTGGCCTGTCTAGGCAGATGCACAGATCCATGTAATACTGAATTAATTTTCTCCATGGATCACTTTACCTGAGTAGGAGCCAGAAATCCTGGCATCTTAGGCATCTTAGGGCAGGAAACTCTGATCAGAGGATTTGGGGGGCACAGTTGGAAATTCTGTTCATTGCAGACTGTGTTGTTTCCTGCCTCAATCTTTTTGTTAGGTGACAGGCTTGAAAAGAATTTGGATAATGAAGCAAGGAACCATCCACAAACTCCTCGCTGACCGATTGGAAGAGGAGCAGGGGGACAGAGTTGCAAGTGGATGTAACCACCCTGTGTCCTTCCTGTTCTTTACCAGGTGTACACAAACACCTGCAGAATCAGTGCTTCACCAGGTCTCCTCACCTGGGCCAGGAGCATTTTAGAGGCTTAACTGTATGCACAAGCAAAACCTCTTCCTGCTGTTTCTTTGTTCCCCGAGGGGAGAAAATCGAACAGTCATACTGATTGATTTTAAGCCGCCAAGTCAGTGATCAAGAATTTTGTCCTGAGCCTTTGCTTGAAGCGCCGATGTGGCGAGCAAGAAGCAAAACACCTTTTCTGAAATGATGACTGGAAGCAGGGAGCTGTGTGTATCGCTCGGCTCTTGGCAGGCAGATGGCGCCAGACGGGCGCTCGGCGTGGCAGGGAGAGCTTCTCCTGCCGGCTGGAGCCGGGCAGCGCGGGTAAGACCACCGGAGGGACAAACAGGAGTACAAACAGGGTGCTCTGTCTGCCGCAGAACATTTATCACTCCTGCGCTGCAGTGAAAATACATCCTCTGCAAGGCTTTGGTTGAGGGAGAGCTGGTTTTCCTGAGTATCAGCAGAGAATTGTGATTTCTAGAACTACGTGCTGTGTGACAAAAGTAAAGAAAGAAATAAAAAGCAACAAATGTGTTTAGGATCGTAGAATGGCTCAGGTTGGAAGGGACCTTAAAAATCAGCTAGTTACAATTTTTCACCAGACCAGGTTGCTCAGAGCCCCGTCCTTCCAGTCGCCTTGAACACTCTCAAGGATGGGGCATGCACAGCTTCTCAGTCAACCTGTTCCAGGGCCTCACCACCCTCACAGTAAAGAGTTTCTTCCTAATATCTAACCTAAACCTACTCTCTTTCAGTCTGAAGCCTTTATCCCTTGTCCTGACACTACATGCCCCAGTAAATAATTTCTCCCCATCTCTCTTGTAGGCTCCTTTCAGCTACTGGGAACCTGTTGGTTTTGGTTTGGGCTTTATTATTGTGTACAAGACATCCTTATCATGCCTCCATATTACTCTGATACAAATGAGGGAGCATTTTCTTTACTTACTTTGATTCTAGTATCTTTATTGTGATCTTAGGTATATATCCCCATGGGACTTTAGGGAAGAACAGCAGAAAGACGCTTTACAAAACTGAGAAACTGCCTAGAATCATATCTCCATGTCCTGAGGAAATGAGGGCCTTTGGAATTTGCTGCTTCCCAGAGCTCCCCCTTTTTCTGCTGAGGTGAACAACTAAAGGAGGGCAGGTGACTCGCTGTATAAGAAATAGAACTAAATCAGCTGAATCAAAACATGACAAAGCATAAGCAAAAATTTTGTGTGGCCCTAAAGACTTTCACAAAACACAAATTTTAATAGTAAAAGCATGAAGAAGTGTGTGAGGGGTCCAGTTTTGGACCACTTTTTCTGGGAACTCACAGATACAGGATAGGTGTCAAGTTACATTTGCAGCTGCAGCCTTCAAATGTCTTCTGCTCTTTCCAGATTCTCCAGCTGTTGAAGAATCTGTCCTCGAGCTTTTTGCTACACACAGTATCACTGTGAAGAACCAAGTGCACTGCAAGCATCGAGCTCCCTTCCAAGGCAAAGCCAAGGCCCAAAGTCACATCAAGGACAGTATGTAGGAGACAGAGGAACAAAATGTGGTGTTGGACAAAGTCAGTGACTGCATTATAACCAAAACCTTGGTGAGGAAAGACAGTGGAGCCATTGTGCTGAACTTGAAAAATCACTGTGTCTGGAGAGGAATGTAGTGATTGGAAAAGGGACAATGGTTTCAAGAGTATGTTTAGATTAACAATAGGAAGAAATTCCATACTGTGAGGCTGATGAGGCACTGGAACAGGCTGTCCAGAGAAGCTGTGGGTGCCCCATCCCTGGAAGTGGTTGGATGGGACTCTGAGCAACCTGGAATAGTGGGAGATGTCCCTGCTCATGGCAGAGGATTGCAAATAATCTTTAAGGTTCCTTTCAACCAGAACCATTCTGTGAAAAACTTAGTTAGAAGACACTGCTGAACTATCTTCTGGGAGTTATAATTCAGGTACCTGATCTAGTTAAAGCTGTCCCTGCTTATTGCAGGGGACTGGACTAGATGAACTTTAAAATTCCCAACTCAAACGATTCGGTGAGACCTCTTGTTCCTATATTTGATCCCAAATGAAAGCAATTTTATAGTCCCCATTCCCAAGACGAGAGTGCATCACAGGATATACAAGGCAAACAGCAACTCTGGGCTATTTAAACAGAAACAAAATCACCAACTTGAAGCAATATAAATAATTTTTCACCTAAAGCTTCACATTTTTGTCCAAACTTCCTATGGATTAGGGAAGACATTTCTGAGCTGCTTTGTAATGCACTGCAGAAAGAACTAATTTTCTGAGTAAATGCAATAATTGAAATGTTTAAACATTTGAAATGTCCAAGGGAAGTAGGTGGCAAAGAAATAGTCTTTAGAAAAGCATTGTGACCATGAATAAATCTAAACATACAAGTTATCCTCCTTGACTTCCCGCTATACATACATACATTTCTTTATATACACAAATATAACACGTGCTCACAATTTGTAGTCAACAAATTGTGATTGTTCTGTGCTAATTTGATTTTCCTCTGTGTAGAGGCTCCGAGAGTGGTGTCTCACCAAAGATGTTTGAGTGGCCTGTTACCAACAAGCAACAAGGAGAGGCCAGAACATTCAGCACCTCTGAAAGTCACACCTATGGATTTGAGTGCCTAATTTTGACTGGTTTTTTTTCCTGAATTAGACCAGAACTGACTTGAACAAGTGACTGATTTTGTTGTATCCATCAGATAGCAACCGTATGATCCATGCTTAACACAGCTTGTGCAACACATGGGAGTGTTCCTATCAGCAGCAGCATCTGACTAAAGAGACTGTTGCTCTTCTTTTTCCATTAATATTTTGGTTCTTTCTTGGATTCTTGACTCTGTCTCATTCAAAATGTTGGGATTTCAGTTTAATTAAATTGCAGTCACTCACGGTATTGTCCTGGTTTCAGCTGGGATAAAATTAATTTTCTTCTTAGAAGCTAGTACAACACTGTTTTGGATTTTGTATCTAATCAGTGTTTTCTCTTATTAAAGGACTATTCCATTTCCAAAGTGCACAAGCAGCTGGGAGCATGGCCAGGACAGCTGGCCCAACCTGGCCAGGGGGATATTCTTATACCACACACGATCAATGCTCAGTATAGAGACTGGGGAGAATTGGCTGGGGGCTACCAATCACTGCTCAGGGACAGGCTGGGCCTCAGTTAGAGGGTAATACGCAACTGTAGCCATCTCTTGGGTTTTATTTCTCTATCTCTCTCTCTCTCCTTTTTATCTTGGTTTATCTCAGTCCAAAAGCAATGAAAAAATTAGATTAGTGATCCCTGTGTAAGTATTAAAACAAGGACACAGAGATTTCCAGCTGGAGGGAATTAAGTATGTGCAAACAGCAGAGATCAACGTGATGAAGGTGTTCTGAGGTGTAGGTAGCTTTAGTACTTAAGGTTCATATAGAGGTTGCCAAAGGCCATAATGTATGACAAAGAATATAATTTGTCATACATGTTACTATGCTCACCAACCCTCCATCAACCCTTTTAAAAGAAAATACTCCAGTGAGATTCATGAAAGTTGCTTACATTCTTTTATTTTAATACTGAATTTTTAGTAGTAAAGAATCTGTGCCTAGTTCTGAACTGATCAATACCACAGACAATCTCCAAAGAATTACAGTAGTCTCAGAAATGCTGAAATGGGCAGATTTCATTTTGTGCCAGTTGCAGAGACTTTTCTCTATATGACTAAAGTATTTCACAAACAAAAGGCTGTCAAATGCCATCAGTAAATAGCCTAAACTATTGATGGAATTCTGTAATAGATACTGAAGTGCACCCTAGTAGCTGCACATAATTCAGAAAAAAAAATGGCCAAGTGTGGAAGCCAGTATAGCTAAAAAAACAGAGAATTCTGTGTAGTAGATGAAAGCCTCAAGGTTAAATAGTTACTCAGACGGGAAAGGACTCAGGCTGCTTTACATCAGAAGACAACACAAAACCAATTTAAAGCCTAGAGCTATGATTATTCTCCTATTTGAAATCTTGCATTATCTCACATTAGGCTTAGGAGAGGAGAATACCCCCTGTCCATATGCACTGTATTCCTTATGACCCCTGTGCTCAAATGAGAGCCTTGTATAAAAGCCATTAGCATCAAGTTTGTTATGGCATGCTGCACTGGATGACTTTCTTGGTGCCAGGGGGAAGGTTGTTGCATATTAGCTGAGAATTTCGGAGCAGGACGTGTATTTAGATACACAACTCCCTATTCTTTTGATTGAAAATATACAGGTTTTTTTAGCAGTCCGTCTTTTGCTCTTCTCATGTATTATGGAGGCTGCTGCAAAGTGGGCTAAAGAGCAAAAACAAGATCTGTATTTTTTAAATGAATGTTAACTAGGGGTACTATAATCTTCAGCAAATAAACTTGAAGAACATTAATAGGATCTTGCAAGTCAGTAAGCACATTCCCTAATCCCAGTCCAGATAGCACCTGACTACTTCCCACAGGACTGTAGGAGGGATTTATTAAACAAGAAGAGACACAAGGGACTCAAAGTCATAGCAGACAGATTGTAGGAAATGTACTGCAGAGCTCACCAGACAGCTAGGAAGAGACAGAAGCAAGCCTTTAATGCTAAATACCTCTTTTAAACACATGTGGAAAATGAGTAGTGGGCAGTGCTCACAGCAGATTCCCAGATGATTCTGTGCCAGAACGTTTGAGTATTTTAATAAAAGTCCAACCTTGAAACAGTGTTGCCATTATGTGCCATGTTAGGAATCATATTGCTTTGCTAGACAGAGTTTGCTCTCTGTAAATTAAGGCTCTTTTTATACCCCAAAATCCTGCAGGTTTGGCATCTTGAAATGGGACCAGTTCTGTATTTGCCTCTGCAGGCTGTGGCTACACATGTGTATTCACATCTGTTTTCACATCTGCAAGCTGTGGACTCTCCTCCTGTCACAGAGCCTTCAGAACTGCTGAAGGCGGTGGATTTTTCAACTCCAGCCTTGGCTTAGCCTGGCAGGTTCCTGGCAGGGAACCCAACCGTGGAGATGTTCTGTCAGGATACACATTAGAGACATGAGTTGAGGACACCAAAAAGTAGACAAAATGCACTAAGATCCCTATCTCTAGTACCACTTACAAGACAAAAACTACTCCTGAACCCAAGTCATGAGCGAAGCTGGTATGGGAGAAGCAGCATTGTTAGAGGAAGGAATTCTAGCATTGTCACCTTCAGGTAAGACCTGTAGTATGTGTCTAGCTGGAACTCCTATCTGTCACCTGTTACTTTCTTTTGTTTTTAACATATACCACATTTTGTAAAGTTTTATCAGATTCATCTTGCACCAAAAAAAAAGCATTTATCATCACAGCTTTGTCGCTAAAGGACACGGAATTATTCACACGGGCACGTCTCAATGGTTTGACAGAAAAAGCAAGCCTTTATTTTCTGACTCCAGTATTTATAGATTCTTGACAATGACCAGGGATTGGATAACTAAGTTACCACCTTCCCAATCACACTGGTCATGTGAAATGTCCATCAAAGATGTTTCTTAGAAGGAATGTGTAAACACTTATGTTTATAGTTACTTTCCTGGGAAAGTAACTGAAACTTTGAAAACAAGATCATCAGAAGGCTTCATTTTCAGGGCGACACAGCTTAGCTGGGTTTTGTTCAGTTTTCAGAGGTCCTGAGAGGAGATGGAAAGCAGCACAAAGCTGTGCAATCCTTAAGCCAAATTTAAATCATTCTGCCATTCTTCTTGCCAAGCTCTCCCCTGAATGAGCATGTCAGGTATAATGGTGTTTTTCCATTTTCCAGTGTTGGTTTTTTTCCACCACATGACTTCGCACATCTCAACTCATATGTGGTTATGCAGGTTACTGTTGGAAGACTGATTCCTGACATGGATTCAGCAGTCTGAGTATGGGTTAGGACAGTTGATGCTACAGTTTCTTGTTTGAAACAGCCATTTGCTGTAAATATGTGGTGTTACTGGAACAAGATTATAATCCTTTCAGGCTCTCAGTGAGCACTCAGCATTCTGGCACCAAAAGCCAAAGTAATATCAGCAGAGGTCATGCTTCAAGTACACTAATTATGTCTTGAGAATAAAGATATGATTGAGAATGACCTGTCATGAAATCCCTAGCTACCTTACTAATTGAGGTAGCAAAGCTCTTTATTGTTTAGAACTTGTTTGCTTAATTATGAATTAGAAAATTCAGGCTTTTTGTCTAAGAGACTCCCTGGACAAAGTGTGGTGCTGGTTGTCCTCAGTAGCAGTAAGGCCAACAGGAATAGATGATTCATGAGTAGAGCAGAAGGACGTTCAGGTTTCCCTGAGGAAGTCTCAGAAGGCAACATCCAGGTGGCCAGTATGAAAAATGGTCATTTCTCTTCTTAGTCTCCACTTTGGAACTACACAACCCATCCATGGGGCATGGCTTTGTTACTGTATCATCAAATAAACACCAAAACCCTGAGAGACTGTAGGCTCCAAACTTCTCTGGCGTGGCATGGCAACATGAAGTACTGTGCTGAAGAGTATGAGTAGTCCTATAAGAAACAGACATTATACAAAACTGCTTGTGGCATAATTTGGACAGTAAAACCATCAAATGAGGCATTAAAGTTGCTTTTTCCTTTCTTTTGTTCTCGTTCATGTATCATTGTATTACATGTAAACTTCATGTATTGTTGTATTACATGTAAATGACACCTTTTTTGGCACGTTTTTTACATTACTTTAAAATATTCCTGTTCTCACCTGAGATTGTCCTGAGTAGGTGCTCATCAGAAAGCAGTTGACTGCATTGGTGTTTTTCTTGTGGTTTCACAACTATTGAGAGAAGAGCTGACAACATTTTGACACTTACATGTAGTGCCTTCTGCTGAAACAGTCCAACGGGGTTCTTCTTACAGCCTCTGATGTGATTTAACAGGCTGAGGAATGGCTGTACCTTTCTGTGTAATCTCTCACTCTCTTATTTCCTAAATTTTTCTCTCTCTCTCTGTTTTCTTTCATTCTCGCCTGCCCAGGTTTGATCTGACTGAAGAGACTGAAGAGCCACACGGTGGTTTGTGCTGGGACAGCACCATGCCTTCGCACATCTTTTCTGTGAGCTTCTGTGGTGTGTCTGTCAGAGTAGAAATCCTGCAAATTAGTGTTTTCTTGGGCATCTGATGAAATACAGCTGCGGGGTTTGGGAGCCTGGAGTTACCCTTTAGCTCACAAGCTGTCACTTCGGTTTAAAAGTTGACTATTGGAGAAAATCCATGTAGAGCTTCAAGTTCATGAAGTCCTGCATAACTGCTCACTGTTACGGCAAGTCTTTTTTCAAGCCTCCCTGTGGTGAGAGAGGGACTTCTGTGCACATGGGTTTGTCAGCTGCACAACCCAGCCCTCCACAGGGAGAGCAGCAGTGCTTAACAAACCATAAAACATTGGGGAGGCTCTGTGATTCACCATGAGAAGCAGAATTTTTCAAGCATTCTACTACAGTTCATGTTAGGTGAAGATAAACCATTCTTGATTAAACCTTGAGTGACCTAGGGTTGTAAAGACAGTGGTTGAGATCCCAACACTGTCCTGTTTGAGGTGCAATTTATATTGACATGGATGTTGAGATCATTTCTATAGATGCTAACAGCAATTTATATGCTTGCTTTTTTTTTTTTCTTTCTTTAGTCCTAGACTACTACATGAGCTCAGGCTCCACAGGACCTTGCAGAATGAGCCCCACTGTAAGAAGGTACCTCTCGGTTTAAATTGTACTAGTTGATCTGTATTACACCAGCTGTTTTCCCTCAGCTTTCAAGATGATCAAACTAATGAACTGTAGCATGCAGTTACGTGGAATCACCCAGGCCATGCCAGCTGTGCGCATTTTGCTGGGGACAAAGCCTGCCACTGCCTTTGCAGATTGAGGAATTCTCCAGCACTGGTGTCCTTGAAACATTTTTCTATCAACCTGGCTCCATACAAGTAGCTCCTGTAGCCACAGACATCCCTGCTGTGCTCAAAGATGGGGTTTCTTTCTGTTGCTGCCCAAGCCAGGAAGCAGAACTTTATAGCTGCAGTTGTCTTGGGCCGTGCCCCCCACCACCACCAGTGGTGTGGCAAAAAGAGGGAGGACAAGAACCACTCAAAGCCCTGATCCACAGCATCAAGTGATTTGTTTGTGACCTGTACCACATTATCCTCAAGAAGAGTTACAGATATGTCCTTTACAGCATTAACATGCAAGCTGCATGTACAGTATAGGGAAAACTCCATCACCTTGGGGCACTGACAGAAAGTACTCTTCTGCTGATGGAAATGACACACAATTTCTGCATCAGTACTAGGGTTAGGAAGGTTGGAGTTTTTTTCTTTAAAAAATAAGAGCCCAGATGCTTCCCGTGATATAACCCTTTATCCAAAAAAGGCCACGGGAGCAAGCCAAAATGTTTCCACTCAAGGGGAGAAAGACTTCCTGGTCAGAAAAGACTTTCCTACTTCTTCATTGTGTTTTCCAACTCGCTCCTCCATGTTAGCTGAGCCAAGCCTGGAAGCAGCATGGCTCAGAGCCAAGGAATAAGGATGGTACTGCTGGGCTTTGTTTACTTTGTTGAGGGTGGAGGGAAAGGGTGAAACAGTCACTGCTCCCGACACTCCCAATGCTACCTTGTTTTTCATGTCATTATTTGAACTGGCAAATCCTCATAAAAGCACTGACAACAGTCTGGTGACATCATTTCCATTGCCAGAGGGTGTGTGCCAGCCAAGTGGAGGTAGGCTGTCTTGGGTCCTTAGAGAGACTCCTATTGCTGTAATGATCTGCAGGGGTTAAAGAGCTATGTCTTTAAGACTTGTCATCCCTTCAGAGTATGCTTTTCAAAACTAACAGCCTTATTTTTTTCATCAGAAGTTAATTACACAGTACAAACTGGACCTCAGGTTGCTCAGGATAGAAGAAACCAAGGAAGAAAGTACTTTCCTAGATATACAGTAACTTTGGAAGTGAAATATTTTTGCCCCAGAAAAGGATAGAGGGAGGGAGCCAAACTGAATAAACTAGTGCTTAAACAGCTCATTAATTCTTAGCTTTCCCTGACTACCCAGTAATCTGCAGCTGGCTGAAGGAGTCCCAGACACCACGACCCTAAACCAGCTCAGATGCAGAAGACAACTAGGAGATGTATTATGGTGTCCTGCAATGTGATGTCAGTACTGACACGTGGTTCACAGACACAGAGAAGCTCTACAGCAATAAATACCCTGTCACAGGCCTACTCCCAGAGAAGAAATACTTCTGAGTCCTTGTCTGACCCTCTGGATTCACAGGAGCAGTGGAACATCTCCAGACACAGAGATAAATACAAGACTGAGGTTTAAGTTCAGGCTCCCTGTGTGGCCTTGGGTATGTCACTAACTTGTTTTGCACCTCAGGTGCTCACCTGGGGATTAGAAACAAGAATACCTCCTCTTCTATCCCTTCCATTTGTTGGCAATCCCTTCAGGACCAGGCTTCCTTTTACTACATGTGTATGTAGCCCATTACATAACACTTTATACAGATGCTGTTTAAGTTACAATTCAGGACATCTGTGCACTCAGAGGGCAATATTATCATGTCTTGACATAGAGGATTGGTGTTACAAGTCATTTGTCTTGTAGTACTTTTTCAGTCTGACTGGGATTTGTTCCCTTAATGAGATGCAAAGAAATCTGTGACATACGAGACTGTGTGACAGTCTTTCTGGACCAGAAGTCCCTGAAAGCCCATTAAACATTTAGAGGTCATCCTGTCAGGTAAATGCCTTTTTCTTTGTTCAGTTGCTCCCTACACATACCTAGTCATAATGTGGATGTCTAATCAGCAGTGGTCCCAAACATAACTGAACATGGCCCGGCTCACCAAGTCAAAATAGTAAGTGATCCTTCTGCCCAGTCTGGGGAATTGCAGAATGTAGTGACTCTAAATGGTAAGATCAGACTTTTTTTTTTTTTTTGGCCTGTTCCTGTTCCTGGTGATTATATCAATCAATATAAACAATATAGTAATAGAAAAAATTAAGTATTTATATGTATTACTAGATAGGTGTCTATTTCTTCAGAAGACTATCCACATGCTGCTAAGAGTCTTGAAATCCCATTAAGAGTAATGGGCAACACATTAAATTGACAGAAGGAGCAGAACAGTAAAAGAAGTAACAAGCTGTCAGACTGTGTATTTGTATTTACCAGTCAGCCTTTCTTGATTGATTAGACCATAGGTATGTTACTTTCCTCTGTAGCTGAGAAAGAGCACTTACAGTTTTGTGGCTGCAGTTGTGTTCTTGTGTTGGAAGTGCTCTAGGCCTGGATTCTGCAGAGTCTGAAATGACTTCAGTAACTTCTGTGCATATAGGCAAGCATAGGAGAGTTGCAAATGGAGGAAAGTTAGATTAGCTGTGCCTTGCACTACATTCTTTTGATAACAGCCTACCTGTCTTCATGCAGGACCAGCAGGACATAGATGTAAACTGATTTCTTATTCTTCATTAGAAATGGCAAGTCACAAGGTTTATTTGCATAAACCTGAGAGATGGTAGAAACACTCTGAAGGAGAATGAGGAGATAAGCTCTATTCTGAGAATGAGGTCTCATGAAAGAATTCTGTCATACATTGCTACATTTGCAATCCAGGGATTTACCTGATGAGATCCCATGTCACTGCAACAAGTAGTATTAAGTACTTCAAGAAATGGGTTTAAATACAGGCTGAAAATGGAAGATTTGCAGCGGACACTGGAAATTAAATTGTACCTGCAGTTCCCCTTGATTTCCCCCAAGCATTCTGTAGACTATTAATGCCTCAGAGCAACACCAGCAGAGCAATATCCCTTCTTCTACAAGATCACCTGCTTTGGTTTATAATTGGGTGTAATTTAATCATGCATTTCTAAAGTGCTTTGGGAGCCAAATATCCGAAAGCACTTTACAATTTAATGGCATTAGTGAGAGAAGGCATCGATACATCCCTGTGGAGCAGAAGTCTGACACCTTAGTTACAGCTGAAGAAACAAAGAAATTAATTGCTTGCTTACAGTTGCATAGCAGACTAATGGGAGAATGAGATTTCCAATTCCTTCCCCTCTTGCTTTTCAGCTTGTACTAGTTTGCACGTTGAGATAGGTATGCTGGTCAGATGCCAAGAGAAATGTGGTGTATTGTTCATTCTTCCTACTCCCTGGGTTTTCCCTGATAGGAAGTAAGGCCCAGGTCATGAAATGTCATACCCAAGCTCTTTGAGATTTGTACTCGTGCACGAGAAGACTGTGTGTTGATGGTGCTGGCTCTGTTTGCATGTTTGTGTGTGCAGTGGGAAGCAGCCCACAGTGACTGTCCTCAGCAGCATTTTGACTTCAAGATGGAGTGTCCCAGGAAGGACAGTGCTTCCTGACCCCACTGAGGAGACACAGAATGTGACAGCAGCAGCTGTGCCCTGAGCTGGGCTTTCATCAGCATCCCCCACACCAGCGACCCCAGTACAGGGGCACCATTAGCAGCACATCCAAGCTTAAGTTGTGGCTCACCTCAACAAGAAGCACCTGCCCACTTATGACCCCTACAGCTTGCAGCTGCAAGCTGATCATCTGTGGTAGGTCAGGTGTGCAGCTACTGGGATTTGTTGGGGGAGATTTCCTCCAGGCTGAGTAACCACAGACTTCATGTCTGAATGTAGTTCACACCCTGCTATTTTCCAGGACAAGTGCACTTGCTGGGACTGGCACAGTGGATCATGCTTCTCTGGGCTGTCTCCCTCATCCACAGAGGAAGAGATTGCTCAGTCTGTAGGTGCTGGAGCTGCAAGGGCCACATTGTAGGAACTTACCTTCATATCCAAAAAAACAGCCTAACACTGTCTTCCTTCGAAGTCACTGAGATTTATCTTCAGTTGTATTAAGGCAGTCTTGTGTCCCTTAAAATGGCTTATTTTGGCCAGCAGGCCTTATGAATTCCCTAAATGGCTCAGAAGCAAACATGGACATTTCTCAGTCCCTAACCATGCTTGCTCTGCATCATGGCAAATTAGCACTTCCAAGCAATCCATGGATGCACTCGGACAATAGCCTTGAGCTTTTTTTGCACAGACACTGCACTGGGTACATCTGTTCTCTTCCTTGGTAAAATGGAAGGATTTTGCCAACATTCAAATTGTTTCAAAGACAAAAAGAGGAAGAAATTCAGATATTTCATATCCCACTCTCCCTTCCCTCTTTTGTTGAACCCAGTGAAGCTTTAAATCAGGTTGTAACAAAGAGCTTGGTTCCAGCTGGCTCAAATTGGTGGTGTGAGCACAGCCACTTCCAGGTGCATAGGATGAGATTTTAGGAACACAGTTTAGAGACAGGTCCTGGTGCCTCAGGCCTGCTAGTGTCCTCTTAAAGGCAGCAAGAAAGAGAGGCTGCCAAGCACAGCTTGAAATGAAACTGATACTACACCAATAATGAGGGGCTATATTTGGAAAGATCTTTCAGGGTTATTTTTGTCTAAGATCATTACTTCTGGACAGCCTGCTGACAACTGCTGAGCATACAAACATACCCCACCCATGGCTTGGTTCTCTCTGCTAATGTGGAAGTAGCTCAAGGGAAAGCACCAGAGGGAGAGGATGCTCACACTGGGTTTCCTGCTCTGTTTTTCAAACTGATCTTTGTGCTTACAAGACATGCAGCACTACTTCACTGAAGCCAACAACTTCCCACCCAAAAGACTGAAAGCAATTCTTTACCATTTTTCCAGTAATTCCTGTTGTTGTTACCACGTGTTCCACTTCCCATGCACACTGATACACTCCTCCCTGAAGCCACAGCTGGAGCACAGCTTTCTTGTCCCTATAATCAGTGGGAGCCTTCTCTGGCTGCCAGCCAGGCTGACACAAGGAATCCTGGCAGCACTGCTCACCAGCTCAGGGAAGGCAGACAGGCCTAAGGGGCACAAGAACAGCCCTCAGAGATCTCCTTGCTGGGTAGCATTTACCTTCTGCCTTCCCACACTGAGCTTGTTGAGATGAGCACTATTACAACAAGGAACATACCTCTTCAAAGCAGCCTGTTTACAGCATACCTGGCTGAGAATGAGGCTTGCAAAAGCACTGAGTGGGTGAGGTGCTGATTTATACCCAGATTCCACAATGGGAGCCTGTGTCTGAGGGCTCCTGGGGCTCCTTGTCTTGACCTGGGCAGTTTCTGGGTAGGGGTCTCTCTGCTGCCAGCTACTTGCGGCTGAGTGAGGTGGAAAATCAGGAGTCACAGTAGGAGACTGTAAAACTGACTTTAGCAGAAAAGGTATTCACATCAAATCAAGCTTAACTGCAGGTTTATTTTTATTATTTGAAGAACTATATTCTTGATAATTTTAGTTCTGGAAGAGAGGTAGTTACTGCCCAGAGTTGGGCACTGTAGGCTGGAGAGCATCATGCCTCATGTGAAAACAAGCACTCTTCATTAGGACACAAGCCCCTTCTGACTTAAAAGCCTTTCTTTAGGGACATTTTTCAGAGACTTTCAGTGGTCTTTATCTGCTGACAGGCTGTCCTATGGGAAAGGAGTAAGGACTGACCTACGGGCTGAGTAAATCTGCTGATTTAAATATGTGAAGGAGTAGCTGATTTCTGTGTTGATTCCACAGGGACTAAACCTCTGTCTCAATTCCTCTTAATATATTGTAGTGGGTTTACCCCAGCTGGACCACCTGGTGCAGACCAAAGCCATTTTATCATTACCCTCTCACAGCCAGACAGGAGAGAGAAAATTGAACAAAAGGCTTATGAAGCAAGGTAAGGATAGGAAGATACTGTTACAGGTTAAACACCCTCAACTTGGGGAATTTAATTTATTACCAATCAAAATAGAGTAGGGCAAAGAGAATTAAACCCCCAAATTTTAAAACATCTTTCTCTTACTCTTCCCTTCTTCCTGTGCTTAACTTTATTTCAGAATTCTTTACCTCCTTTACCCACTGGTGCAGGTGGATTGGGAATGGGGGCTGTGGTCAGTTCATCATGGCTCATCTTTGCCCCTTTCCTCTGCTCTCACATATTCTCACTCCCTCTCTTTGGCTGCAATTGGTGTTGCAGTTTTTTTCCCCTTCTCAATAGTGTTGACATGGACAGGTTGGACCTGTTGCTTCTGCTGGACACAGGGGAAGCTTCCAGCAGACTTTCACAGAAGCCACCCCTGCAGTCCCTTCCTGCCACCAAAGCCTTGCCACGCATACCCAATACTTACTTACTCTTCTGTTTCTCTTCTTTAATTGTACTCTTCTGCTTAGCCACGTATTTCAGTTTCAGCCCTTTTTGTAATATTTGCAAAAACAAATAGGGCATTGCATCACCTCAGTGAAACCCAGCAACAGCTTTGCTGCTGTTGCAGCTCAGAAGGGGTGAGAGTAACTTTCCTTAGGCAGGGAGGAGGCAGGTTGCAAAGAACACAATGACTTTTAGACCCAAGTGAGTTATTCAGAACAGTGCTGAAGTGAACAAGGGGAAATGGGAGTGAAAATGAGAACTCCCTAAATATGAGCTGTCACTTCCTACAAAAACAGTGACCAGACAACTTTTTCCTTTATACAGGGGAAAGCATTATAAAGCTTTAAAACTTTTAAAAAATTTATAAAGCTTTTTATCCATAACTCTGTGAGACTTGAACTCAAATCAAAGGGTTGACTGCACTAATTATGGCACTTAGTCCTCTTCCTTAAAAAAGGATGGACACAGGGACAGGAAGTTTGCAGAAGTTGAAACACAAGATATAATTAGTGGAACTTGCTGTGCCTGGTCTGGCATGCAGAACAGCTTTGTTGTGGATGTGTATTTTGTCTTCATGTGGCTCAAAATGCAGCTTCCCTTAGTTTCTGTGAAGGTCAGTTAGACCATCTGGTAGAGTGGGGCTTCTGCTCAGCAGGGGCAGTTCCAGTGTTTCCATTCACCCTCTAAGTGATTTTGTAATGTATCTTATG